AAAAAAAAAAAAAAAAAAAAAAAAAAGAAAATGAAACCAAGTGATTTAGAAAAAAGAAAATCTTCACAAAACAAACATAAACTAGACGGGAAGCTAATCCAATTAGGCAAAACCCTTAAAATAAATGTTCTCCTGTGATTTAATTTCTAAGGAATCCGTAACTATGTTAAAACCTCAATTTTTGGCTAAACTCTATAAAAACGTAAGAACCAACTGTCGTCCAAGTGCGGTGGCTCCTGCCTGTAAAACCAGCACTTGAGACCAGCCTGGGCAACATGGTGAAGCCCCATCTCTACCAAAAACACAAAAATTTGCCAGGTATGGTAGCACATGCCTATAATTCCAGCTACTTGGGAAGCTGAGGCACGAGAATCTCTTGAACCTGGGAGAAGGAGGTTGCAGTGAGCTGAGATAGCCCCACTGTACTCCAGCCTGGGCGACAGTGAGACTGTCTCAAAAAAACAAAAATAAAAAATAAAAACTGTGAACAAAGTGTAAGTCTCTTTCCCTTTCAAGGCACACTGGTAGTATAGGTAGTATTCTTCATTTTAGCACATAGGGGTCAGGTGCAGTGGCTCACGCCAGTAGTTCCTGCACTGTGGGAGGCGGACGGACCACTTGAGGCCAAGAGTTCGAAACCAGCCTGGCCAACATAGTGAAATCCCAGCTCTACTAAAAAATAAAATAAAATAGCCAGCTGTGGTGGTGCATGCCTGTAACACCAGCTACTTGGGAGGCTGAGACAGTAGAGAATTGCTTGAACCCAGGAGGCGGAGGTTCCAGAGCACCAAGACTGCACCACTGCACTCCAGCCTGGGCAAGAGAGCGAAATTCTGTCTCAAAACAAAACAAAAAAACATCCCAGAACTTTGGGAGGCAAAGGTGGTGGGATCATCTGAGGTCAGGAGTTTGAGACCAGCCAGACCAACATGGCAAAACCCTTTCTCTGCTAAAAATATCAAAAATTAGCCAGATGTGGTGGCGCACACCTGTAATCTCAGCTACAAGGGAGGTTAAGGCAGGAGAATCACTTGAACCTGGAAGGCGGAGGTTGCATTGAGCCAAGATTGTACAATTGCACTCCAGCCTGGGCAACAGAGTCCCAAAAAAAAAGTAGACCAGGCAAGATGGCTCATGCCTGTAAGCACTTTGGGAGGCCAAGATGGGTGATATCCTGAGGTCAGGAGTTCAAGACCAGCCTGGTCAACATGGTGAAACCCCGTCTGTACTAAAAATATAAAAATTGGCTGGGCGTGGTGACAGGCACCTGTAATCCCAGCTACTTGGGAGGCTGAGGCAAGAGAATCACTTGAACCCAAGAGGCAGAGGTTGTAGTGAGCAGAGATTGTGCCACTGCACTCCAGCCTGGGCAACAAGAGCAAAACTCCATCTCAAAAAAAAGAAAAGAAAAAGAAAACCAGGCCAGGTGTGGTGGCTCACACTTGTAATCCCAGTACCTTGGGAGGTTGAGGCAGGTGGATCACCTGAGGCCAGGAGTTCGAGACTAGACAGACCAACATGGAGAAACCCCGTCTCTACTAAAAATACAAAATTAGCTGGGCACAGTGGTACAAGCCTGTAATCCCAGCTACTCAGGAGGCTGAGAGGCAGGAGAATCGCTTGAACCTGGGAGGTAGAGGTTGCAGTGAGCCAAGATCGTGCCACTGCACTCCAGTCTGGGTGACAAGAGTGAAACTCCGTCTCAAAACATGAAAAGCAAAAAGGCAAAAAAAAAAAAAGAGAGAGAGAGAGAGAGAGAGAAAGAAAACCTATCAGTAAGAATTTACATTTTTTTTTAATGCTTTTTAGGAGGGGAAAAAAGTCTTTCATAGATCAGAAAGATTCCATTACTTAGTATATGTTCCTTCTGTTTCTACCCAAGGGCCATTAACAGAACAAAGAAGCTGTACTAATATCAAAGAAAAATATTTAACTGTAGTTTGTTTAACTAGAACAAGAGAACCATGACAGGGCTAAATGGCACATTATGATTTAAGAACCTGAGAGTCTATAAGAACTAACAAATGAAAAACAACCCACAACAGTTATATAATGTATGTAATTTCTATCTTCATCTACTGTGATAAGGTAGTAAGTGCCCTGTGGACTGAGAAATAAGACTTACCAGTCTTCTGAAGATGAGTGTTTGATCAAAGTACTGGTGAAAATACTATATAAAAAACATTGTGTTTAAAATGTCACATGGGAAAGTACCTTTTGATATATGTGAAAACCTATTATACAGTTCCTAGTACACAGTAAACACTCTATAAAAAGCATATTTTTAAAATGCAGTCTGTACTTTATTTTATTATCATTGAAACGGCTCACTGCAACCTCTGCCTCCCCGGCTCAAGCGATTCTCCTGCCTCAGCCTCCTAAGTAGCTGGGATTACAGTGGTGCGCCATCACCACCTGGCTAATTTTTTACATTTTTGGTAGAGATGGGTTTCACCATGTTGGCCAGGCTGCTCTCAAACTCCTGACCTCAAGTGATCTGTCCACCTCAGCCTCCCAAAGTGCTGGGATTACAGATGTGAGCCAATGCACCCAGCCTATTTTTTTTTTTTCTTTGAGGCAGGGTCACATTCTGTCACCCAGGCTGGACTGCAGTGGCACAATCCCGGCTCACTTACAGCCTCAACTTCCTGGGCTCAGGTGAGCCTCCCACCTCAGCCTCCCCAGTAGGTGGGACCACAGGAGTGTACTACCTCGCCAGGCTAATTTTTGTATTTTTAGTGGA